ATTGGTAACCAGCAGCTAACTGGGGAAGCTGGGAAGCTTCTGGCACCACTGGCTGCCACCAAACCTCTCAGACATGCAAGTCACTGAACAGAGGATTCACGTTTAACTGTGCTGCTGAAGCTCTCTGGCTCCATCATTAAAAAAACCCAGCAGCGCTGGGGGAATTCAGCATTTAATTAACTTGCCAAGTGGTAACGTTGACCAGAATTATGCAGGAAGACTTCTATTTTTGTTAATTACAGTTTTGTTGTCGCCCATTAGCAAATTGAAACAATTGCAGGGTAAGGCCTGGTGGAGGTTGGCCAGCACGGCTGTGGCCACCTGCCAGCCATCTCTGGAGCTCTGGGGAGGCCAGGGACACCCCCATGCCTGCAGCCCTCACTGCTGGCCCCCAGCCCCACCCTGCCTCGCCCCACGGAGGGAGCACGGGCAGCCATGGACACAGGACTCGCTGCCCCTTCAGCAGAGCTGGCAGGAATTGTGGCCAAGCCCCTGATGGCACTGGCATGGTGCACAGGTGAAGCCTGGCATGGTCCTTCCCACTTAGACACAATGTCTTAAAGGAAGCTGCCTTCCCTCAGTCCCTGGTGCCCTGCCCCCAGGGCTCTGTCCTGTCCCTTGTGACCCCAGCAGTGCTGATGGTCTCTCCCCAAACCCACTTTTCCTGTGACTCTACTTCAAATCCCAGTTCTTTGGAGGCAAAGAGAGCAGGGAGCCTGAGGAATCAGGGCAGTGGCCCTCAAAGGCTGTAAGCTGATAACCAGCTGGGCTGGGCAGCCCCAGCAGCCTCACCCCCCTGCCTCTGGCTGGCTGTGTTCCAGTGTGCCCTGCCGTGCCAGCGCCTCTTCATTTCAGATGGCATCTCAGGCACTTTGGTTTCATCCTTAATTATTGATGCTTTCCTGCGCCTGGAGCCCACTCTGCAGCCCAGCAGTGCTGCCCATCTTCCCTGCATGCCACGGCCTTCATCAGCCCCAGCTCCCCATAACTGCTCCACATGGTTAAACCTCCCCGTGCCCACCACCACAGTTCTAAGGCAGCAAGCCTCAGTGCCAAGCAAAGCCCAATCCCCATCCTGATCAGGGCCAAGGTTTCCAGCATCTTTAAGTGTGGGGACTCAGACAGAAGCTGCCATGTCTTTGCCATAAGCTCCTTACCCATTTTCCACCCCAGCGAGGGGCACCCTGGCTTCCTGGGCATCCAAGGGTTTGGACATGTAAAGCACTAAATACAGCCTAATTATTATTATCTTCGTGGGATCTGGTTAATCTCAGTGGGGATTTACAAGCTGTTAGCAAAGCAGCCGCTCCTCCAGTGTTTGCATTTTTCTCAGGGGCAGCTTAATCCCCTTGGCCGTGTTCTCTGGGAAATGCCTGAGGCCGGGTTACATGGAGGAGGAAGCTGCTTCAGAGCCAGTCCCTCTGAGAGGGAGCAGAGGTGCTGTGGGATAGCCAAACACCGAGCTGATAACGCTGCGGGAGAGGGATGGGTCATTTGTCACCAGCAGAGGCACAAGGCTGGGAGGTGCCTCAGCTTCAGCCTCCTCACATCCCAAATCCCCCTGGGATTTACCCTCAGACACATGACAGGTGTCAGTGCTGGGGCTGATGGGGCTGCAGAGGTCTCTTAAAGGTGGAACCCAGAGCTCAGAATGGTTTACCGGAGGCATTCCCACTGGCACAGGCAGCTTTGCTTGCCTCCACCTTCCCACAGCTGCCGTGGGCAGGATTTCTGTGTCCCTCATGTGCATGTGGGAGCTGGGCAGCTCACAGCTGCTGCTGCTGGAGCATTCACTGCAGCCAGTGTGAGCTGCGATGGCAAATGCTGCGCTGGCTGCTGCAGCACGGGCTGTGCTCACACACAGCTCCACGTGGCACTGGCTGTGACAGGGATGGGGCTGTCCCACAGCTCAGGAAAATTCAGTTATCCCTTCGCTGCTTTTCTGCCATAACCTCACAGTGATTTTCCACAGGGGATTGGATTGAAGCACAGGGTGCAGGACTGGCAGCAGGGTCTCTTCAGCATGTAAGTCCCCAGAGGTGCTGAAGGAAAAGCCAGTAAGAGAAAATGCAAACTCAGCATATGCCAGTCTCTCAACTTGAGTGTCTCTGGGGCTTGGCAGGCACCTCTCACAGCTGGCAAAGCCCAAGGACCCTCTCTGCTTGCCCTTCCTTAGTTCCTGCCTTCCCACTGTACCCAGGCCTCCCTGCCTGCTTTGAAAGACGAGGAGCATTTCAGAGTGGAGCTCCACAATCTTTTTGGCAGAGCTATTTTTAACAGAGATTGTTCCCTTATCCACTTCCCAGTGCAGTCCCATGAAGAGTCGAGCTGTCACATCTACGAGAGCAGGATGGCAGGGTGAGCTGCTCAAACTGGGGCAGCTGCCAAGAGGAATGGCTGCAGAGACACAGCTGGGAGGAACCTCAGGGAGGAGCCTCAGACCAACCTGCAGAGACATCAGATCATAGAATCATAGAATGATTTGCATTGGAAGGGACCTTCATCTCATTCCAACCCCTCTGCCATGGGCAGGGTCACCTTCCACTAGACCAGGTTGCTCAAAGCCCCATCCAGCCTGATCATGAACACTTCCAGGGATGGGCATCCCATGGAATAGATTAGTACTTTGCTTGTCTGGTTGTGGAGGAGCCCTAAGCCTCGTGCTGATGAGATCACACCAGCAGTGACACCTGCCTCTCCATGGGCTCCTTGAATGGGACCTGATTGGCACTCAGCATCTGCAGCACTGGTGGCCAGTGTTGGCCTTCCATGGTCTGTCTGGGCTTGAATTGTCTCTGGAAGGGCAGAAGCAGTTGAGCCCATCACATATGCAGAGCTCCCCAGTCACCAAAGTCTGGCAGGTTGAGGATATGCAGTGCCCCATGCAGGGAGGGTGTAAAGGATCTGAGTGACACAGGCTGGGTAGGTCAGGACAAGCTGATCTCCTCGAGCTCCTTCAGGACCCTGCTGGGAGCTGGTGTGGTGGTGTGGCAGACAGGTATGGGCAGGAACTAAGCTGAGCTTTGCCCTGGCACATCCAACCCATCCCACTGTGCATCGTGCCCTGCCCTCACTGCCTGCACTGGGGAGGGAGCTCTGGCAAAGGAAAATAGGATTCCTGAATGAAAAATGAAAGGTCACGTATTTCCATGAGGCATGGTTTCAATTTGTGTCACACAATCACATTTCTTCTGTGGTCTGGAATAATTACACAGCAGAGTGGGGCAAGCAGATCTGATTCAGAGGCACGGGAATGAGTTCTGAAATAAAAGAAGACAAATGCAATCATTAAGATACAATAGGCTGCATTTGCCCCTTAATTAGACTTTCTCTTTGATTAAGCAGTAATTAAATATTACTGTGCTGAAAGGGATTTTTTGTAATGGCCCTCCAAAGCCCTAATGTATTCTTAAGATGTTTGTGTGAAGAGCAGGGGCTGCTGCAGGGTGCTGGGTGTGGGAGGATGTTTTACACCTGGCCCTTTCCTGCAGGAGCAGCCCTCCTGCCCCTCTGCTCCCTGGAGAGCGTGGGGCTGGATGGCTGCTCCTGGCCTGGGTTGCTGCAGAAGTGAAGATGTGTCCGTGGGAAAGCCCCGCTGCTCCTGGCCACCACCAGCTGCAAGGCATCTCCAGCATCTCATTACAACCTGGAGACTCCTGGGATGCAGATGACAAGGCTCTCACAGTTCTGCTTTGCCATAGGTATGGGATTTGGAGTCATAGATTAGAATCATGGAATTGGTCAGGTTGGAAAAGATCCTTGAGATCATGGAGTCCAACTGTTATTCCAGCACTGCCAAGGCCACCACTAAACTCTGTCCCTAAGCACCACATCTACACATCTTTTAAAACCCTTCAGGGATGGTGACTCCACTGCTTCCCTGGGCAGCCTGTTCCAGTGCTTGACAACCATTTCAGTGAAGAAATTTTCCCTAATATTCAATCTAAACATCCCCTAGTGCAACCTGAGGCTATTTCCTCCATGTCATTTTGATGAACCCAATCTTCTCCAGGCAGACCATGGCCTCTGGGATCCCAGGGCACACAGCCCTGGCCCTAGGCTGGTCCAACTGAAGACCAAGACCACCTCTCTGACATGACAGCTCCTCAGGGCCAGCCACCCCTTGAGGCTGGCCACCCTGAGCTTTGGGAGCCATGGATCAGCAAAGGAGAAGTCTGGGAAAAGAACCTGGAGCACATTGTGCTGTTAGCTGCAAAACTGAAGAGATTTAAGATGCTGAAACATCTAAAGTGAAGGAAATGTCAGGCCCCTATTCCTGGACATTCCTGGGTGGGTAAAAATAGTCCTTGGGCAACCCAGGGGAGGAAAGTGCTTCTGATCTCTTAATGCAGAGCCCCTGCCTTAGCCCTGTGGGCTCTCTGCCACTCACAGCCCCGCTTGCCTCTGCTTTTTCCAGGCCATAAAACGACAGCTCTTGCTGAGAATTTCACTAGACAAGATTGTCTTGTTCTTTTCCTGCACAGCATGTATTTTGGGTAATATCTCTGGGAAATTCTGGCATACTTGTGTACCCAGTATTTTTGTTAACCTAGAAAAAAGAGCCGTAAGTGTTATGGTTATGCTATTAAACGTTTATTATATCAAAGAAAACAAATCAGAGTGAGAAAAGAGCTGTATGGAGCTGAGAAGTGTTAAGCTACGGTAGTAATCTGCCTTTGATTGTTTAATTCCGCTTAAAACTGAAATACCACAAGGCTGAAGAATGAAGAGCTGGTGATGCTGAGGGATTGTGGGGGAGAATGTGCAGTCCCTGTGCTGCAGCCATGGTACCTCAGGCTGCACATCTCTGGGTTCTGGACAAGGGAAGGGATGGGTTGCACTGGATGTGGCTGGTTTGCAGGGTATGGCTGTGATGGTGTAACCGGTTGTTTGGTTTGGGTGGGCTGAATCCTCTGCACCATGGCTGGGTGTCCCACCAGCAGAGCTCCTCCGCGAGATCCCAGAATTTCAACAGAACTTTTCCTTCCATTCTTTTGCAGAAGAACGAATGGCTGTGCTTGAACTGCCAAACTCAGCGGCTGCTCGAAGGGAGCCTCGGCGACCCTGCCCCGATGCCACTGCCCACCCCAAAGCCGCCGTCCAGCGGCTCCCCGCGGCACCAGCCGCAGCGAGCGCCCACGCCGGCACCCGTGGCCACTGAGCCGGCGCCCCCCGAGCAGCAGCCCTCACCCGCCAGGAGCCTCCGGGCTGCCGAGCAGAGCAGGGCCCCGAGCCCCGCCCCGGCGGAGAAGAAGCCGCCACCGCCAGCAGAAAAGAAGCCCCCGGTGCCGGCAGAGGAAAAGCCCCTGCCCAAAGCTGCCCCGGAGCCTTCCAGAGCTCCTGAGAGCGTCGCTGCAAAGGGGAAGAGCGTGACCCCCAAAGCAGAGGTGGAGAGAAAGGAGAGCCAGGCACTCCCCGAGGCGCCGCGGGCAAAGGAGCAGGAGGTGAGCTCTGAGGGTGCATCCAGCTCCGAGCATCCCTGGGCAGCACAGCCTGCCCCAGGCTGGCAGGGTACTGAGCTGTGCCTCTGTCAGTCGCTGTGCCCACAAATGGGGAAGGACCTTCACAGGCTCCATGGCAGCATGCTGGTATTTGCCTTCTTTTTATTAGGGTTACATCAATTCAGGCAAAATGCGATAGTTCAGGTCATGTCTGGCCTCTGCCTTTCTTTTAAAATAATGTAAGGGTAGTTGGGATTTGTTGTCAAATGGAAAACTCATTTTCCAGCATTCCATGTTGCAGCAGTGGGTGTTCTTCATGCTCTTTATCCCCCCTTTTCTAAAATTCATAACAATTTGGGGAAACATTTGGCTGCCTTGGGATGGTGTTTCCCCACAAGCAACCTCCCAGCAGCAGCCAGCAGAGCCCCCCGTGAGGAGGGGACATGGCAGAAGGTCCCCACCAGCTGGGAGGGAATGGCTGCCTCCCTCATTGCTGTGCAGCCCCCAGGGAAGAGGCTCCTTGGGTCCCCAAAATCAAGTGGTCTGTGGTGCCTCTGTGCTGGCAGGGTGGCAGGTCCTGCCAGTAGCACCAGGGCTGGGTATGATGGCACAGTCTCCATGGCTCAGAGACTTGTCCCTCACACTGCCTAATTGTCAAGCCAATTAAAGGGGGCTGTTTATTTCTGTTGGCATCTAGCAAGGATCCTGCGGCCGGCGCTGCTTCTGAAGGGTGCCTTGGGGGCTGGAGGCCCAGTTTTTCAGATGTGTTTATTAGTCCCCCAATGTATTTATGCCTGGGGCCATTTGCTGTACCATCCCCTGCTTGCAGAGCACCCTCTAACCTGCCCTTACTAGCACAGACAAGTTACTGATGTGCCACTGAACTGGGGGACACAGGGTGGCCCCCAGCCTTTGCTCTGGGCTGGCTCCCAGTGGTGCCCAGACTTGCTGTGTGCTCCTTGGGAGATGGTTTGGGGGAGGTAGGAGCAGCAGCTCTGGAGCTGCCTGGATCTGACACTGCTCTCCCTTGCCTGCAGGACGGCAGCAAGCCTTACCCCCCAGACCTGTCCCGCAGCCCCCAGAGCCTCAGCGACACCGGCTACTCCTCCGACGGCATCTCCAGCTCGCAGAGCGAGATCACCGGCCTGGTGCAGCAGGAAGAGGAGAAGCTGAGCAGCACCGGGCTGGCTGGGCAGAGCCCCCCCAGCCCCTCTGAGCTCACCAAGTTGGAGAGCAGCATGCGGCCTCTCCTGGAAGGCCGGGGAGCACCGACACAGTCCCCTGAGCGCAGCAAGAGCCGCACAGAGCCACAGGAGGACCAGCGGCAACAGCAGCGGCCACGGTACCTCTCCATCACCCCTGAAGCCTTTGACTCAGATGAGGAGCTGGAGGACATCCTGGAGGAAGATGAGGAGTGGGAGAACCAGCGGGAGCGTCGGGAGAGTGCAGAGTCCTCAGATGAGTTTGGCAGCAAGCTGCGGCATGACTATGTGGAGGACAGCAGCGAGGGGGGCTTCTCCCCAGTGCCCCCCCGGAGCAAGGGCCAGGAGGCAGAGGTGACAGATGAGGAGTTCATGCGGAGACAGATCCTGGAGATGAGTGCTGAGGAGGACAACCTCGAGGAGGAGGAGGAAGGCTATGGGCGCACCAAGTACAGCATCCCCAAAGCTGGGCAGAAGACTGAAGCAGAGAAGGGCAAAGAGCCAGCGTCGGCCAAGCGGCGCCTGCCGCATGGTGCCAGCAGCATGTACACAGAGGAGAGCAAAGAGGTGGAGGCAGTGGAGGGTGATGACTTGAGCACGGCCCAGGGTGGGCTGCGGCGATTCAAGACCATCGAGCTGAACAGCACAACTGGCTACGGCCGGGAGATGGAGATTGGCCAGGAGCCAGATGCCAGTGTGGACCGGGAGCCCGAGCTGGAGATGGAGAGCCTGACAGGCTCCCCTGAGGAGCGCTCACGGGGCGAGTACTCCTCCACCCTGCCAGCCACAACGCCCAGCTACACCTCGGGCACCTCACCCACCTCCATCTCCTCGCTGGAGGAGGATAGCGACAGCAGCCCCAGCCGCCGGCAGCGGCTGGAGGAGGTGAAGCAGCAGAGGAAGGCTCGGCATCGCTCACATGGCCCCTTGCTGCCCACCATTGAGGATTCATCTGAGGAGGAGGAGATGCGGGAGGAAGAGGAGCTCCTGCGGGAGCAGGAGAAGATGCGGGAGGTGGAGCAGCAGCGCATCCGGAGCACAGCGCGCAAGACCAAGCGTGACAAGGAGGAGCTGAGGGCCCAGCGGAGGAGGGAGCGCTCCAAAACCCCCCCCAGCAATCTCTCCCCCATCGAGGATGCCTCCCCCACAGAGGAGCTGAGACAGGCGGCAGAGATGGAGGAGCTGCACCGCTCCTCCTGCTCTGAGTACTCGCCTTCCATTGACTCAGAAGCAGAGAGCTTTGATGCTGTGACCTCCAAGCTGTACAAGTCTGGCAGCGAATACAACCTGCCCACTTTCATGTCACTGTACTCCCCAACAGAGAAGGTGGAGAGTGCTGCCAGCCAGCCCATCAGCAAGCCCCTGAAAAGCGCCGAGGAAGCCTATGAGGAGATGATGCGGAAGGCAGAGATGATGCAGAAGCAGCAGGTCCAGCAGGCCCAGCCTGCCTCTTCCTACAGCAGCACCTACCAGCAGCTTGGCTACCGCAGTACTGAGGCCCAGAACGGCTTTGACTACCAGTATGGCGAGGAATACCAGTACGACGGCGGCCTCACGCGCCCCTCCCAGCCCGACTATTCCAGTGCCCTGCCGAAGGCAGGAGCGGTGTACGAGGAGATCCTGCAGACCTCACAGAGCATCTCCAGGATGCACCAGTCCTCTTCCTTTGACCTGGCCCTCAAGCAGGGGGAGAAGGTGAAGGGGCAGGAGGAGGCATACCAGGAGAAGCGCTTCCTCAATGCAGAGAGCGCCTACGCTGACCTGCTGAAGCAGAACGGTGGCCCACTCACCCCTGGCACAAGCCCCACACAGCTCTCTGCTCCCGTCTCCTTCGCCAGCTCCGATAGCAGCACTGGCAAGACTATTCCTGATGTCCGGGTCACTCAGCATTTTGCAAAAGAGGGACAAGACCTAGGCAAGCTCCAGAGTGCCCCGGCAGCACCCAGCCCAGTATCCAAGGCGACTACCACTCCTTATGCTTACAGCAAAGGCACCAGCACGGTGACAACAGCAGCAGGCAGCCCTGGGAGCGCACTGCAGAGCTACAGCTCACCAAGTCCCGAGGCCCCATCCATAGCCGGGAGAAGCTACACTCCATCAAAGAGCACTGTCAGCTATGGCTCACAGACCGAGGATACCACCAGAACCAGGACGGTGGAGATTAGCGTGCAGACAGCCAGGGAGAAGATCCCAGCCGTGAGTGACAGCAAGCCCACACTGCCCAAGACATACACCTTCTTCAAGAGTTCCAGCCCTCCGCTCTCACCCACCTCACCCACACAGAGTCCCACCCGCACCACAAAGGCCACAGCAGAGTTTTCCACACAGACACAGAGCCCAGTCCTCTCCTATGATGGTCCTTCTGCTGCTGCTGGCCCGGACACCTCTTCCCCCATGGTGGCGCAGGGGACGCAGACGCCGCACCGGGCGGGCTCGCCACGCCTGACTCGGCAGGCCTCCTCACAGGACTCCCCCTTCATGGTGATCACACTGGCAGCCGATGCAGCCAGCCAAACCAAGCCAGTCAGCTCTGGTGCTTTGACGTCTCCCACTTCATCCCCCACCAGGCCAAGCCGGCAGCTGCTGGCACATGGTTACACACAGACACCGGAGCCAGAGCAGCCGACCGGTGCCTACATCAGGGCACAGCCACTGAAGGACCACGCCCAGAAAGCACCTGCCGTGACTTCAGCTGCTGATGGCATCACAGGACTGTACAGCTGGGGAGCACTCCCTGCAGAAAACATCTCCCTCTGCCGCATCTCCTCCATCCCCGGCACGTCCCGGGTGGAACCAGGGCCCAAGGTGCCAAGCAGCAATGCTGTGGACTTACGGACTGCATTGAAGTCTGCCCCCATCATCATAACAGACCAAGGCATGGATCTGACCTCCTTGGCCACCGAGGCCAGAAAGTACTGCCTGACCCTGGACCACATCCCCAACCGGCAGTCCACAGCCATCCAGCCCTTGATCATCAACCTCAATGCCCAGGAGCAGCCCCACGCCATCATCGCAGCAGCAGCCACCACTGCCAGCCTGGCCATCGCCTCTCCCATGATTCTCTCGCAGTCCAAGCAACCCATGGTCTATGGAGACCCTTTCCAGAGCCGTGTGGATTTTGGGCAGGGGACCGGGAGCCCAGTGTGCTTGGCACAGGTGAAGCAGGTGGAGCAGGGTGTCCAGACAGCCACTGTCAGAGCCAGCGCGGTGGCCAGTGGCAAGCCCGAGCCCACCGCTGCCCCCCAGACCAAATTCGCAAGGTACGGCATGCCAGGCCAGATGGTGAAGAAGGACGTGCTCCTCACACAGACCGCTGGGGCACAGAATGCCAGTGGCCTCCCACAGTCCTTCCCACCAGAGCCAGGATCGGAGGTGTACCGGGCAGTGCCAGTAGAGCTGAAGAGCCAGAGTCCTCTCCTTGCCCTGGGTGGCAAGAAATCCCAGGTGATGATGGTGCAGATGGAGGAGGCAGCAACTGGCCCGGTGACCAAAGTGCTGAAGGAGGAGGGGCCAGCCAACGTTCTGGACCTCACGGGCGTGAAGCCAGAAAGCCAGGTAGCCTGCTGTGACATGGTCTACAAGTTCCCCTTTGGTGGCAGCTGTACGGGTGCTTTCAACCCCACCTCCAAGATGCCAGAGAAGAAAACTGGGGAGGCGGCAGTGATGCCTGGTCGGAAAGCTGGTGGACCAATGTATGGCAGCAGAGAGCCAGAGCTGCCAGAGACCTTCCCTTACCGGGAGCAGCCGGCCCCGGCACCTGCACTCTACGAGGAGCAGAAATTTTACCCAGCCAGCGCCTTTGGACGACTCTACTCCTCCATGTCAGACACAAACCTCTCTGAAATCGGGATGAGCTACTACCACACAAAGGGGGATCAGCCCTTCCCTGCCCCAGCAGGTGATGCCGCTGTGGACCTCAGCACCATGAAGCACTCCTACAGCGTGGGCTTTGCCGAGGGGGGTTACCTCGGCCAGGGGCCACAGTATGGCTCTTTTTCTGACCTCCGCCAACCAGGAGAGCTGCTGAGCCACCCCTTCCCCATGCGGAGGTACAGCTCAGCCTCCAACATCTACTCTGACTACCGTTTCTCACACCGGGGGGACCTGGCCAGCTTCCAGGAGTCCAGCCTGGCCCACTACAGTGCCACCACGGCACGTGAGATCAGCCGCATGTGTGCTGCCCTCAACTCCATGGACCAGTACGGGGGCCGGCATGCCAACGGCCCTGATGTGCTACCTTATGGCCCCAGCACCGGGCAGGGAGCCACAGGGGGCCTGGCAGCTCAGCAGCAGGGCCCTGTACCCCCCAAACCCAGTGGGATGTACAACCCCACCTTCCCTGAGGGACGGCAGGGCTTCAGCAACCTGGCACAGTACAACGTTCCTGGTGTCCGCCTGGGCGCCATCCGGCAAATGCTTCCTTCCACTGCAACCGTGCGGGCCGCCGATGGCATGATCTACTCCACCATCAACACCCCCATCGCCTCCACACTGCCCATCACCACCCAGCCGGCCTCCGTGCTGCGGCCCATGCTGCGTGGGCTGTACAGACCCTACGGCCCAGGTGGGGTGGCAGCAGTCCCACTGGCCAGCTTGGCCAGGCTGCCGGTTGTCACTCCCCGTGTCCCGCTTGCAGCACAGGGCCTCTACCGCTTCCCAGCCCCAAGCCGGCCAGCCCCAGCAGCCTCGATGATGGAGACACCCGTCTACCTGGGGAAGCCCGTCGCCAGCACAGCACCGGCAGCGGTGGGAGCTGCTCCTGCTGCCAAAGCACCTGCTGCTCCCGCCGCACCTGCCAGTGGCTTGCAGAGAGCAGAGCCACCAACAGCTGCCCCCCGTGCAGAGGCACCAGCAGCACCAGCAGCCCCCAAGGAGAGCGGGCCAGTGGCCACAGTGCCCAAGCCACCACTGGATGGAGCTCAGCGAGAGGAGAGGGAGCGGGAAGAGGAGCGTCAGCGCAAGCAGCAGGAGCACGTGCTGCAGCTGGAGCGGGAGCGTGTGGAGCTGGAGAAGCTGCGGCAGCTGCGGCTGCAGGAGGAGCTGGAGCGGGAGCGCGCCGAGCTGCAGCGGCACCGGGAGAAGGAGCAGCTGCTGGTGCAGCGGGAGCTGCAGGAGCTGCAATGCATCAAGCAGCAGGTGCTGCAGCAGCAGCAGGAGGAGCGGCACGCGCAGCTGGCGCTGCAACGGGAGCAGCTCGCCCAGCAGCGCCTCCAGCTCGAGCACATCCACCAGCTCCAGCACCAGCTGCAGCAGCAGCTGGAGGAGCAGAAGCGGCAGAAGACCATCTTCCCCACTCCCGCGGAGCCCACTGCCCGCCCGCCCGAGGGCCCCGCTGAGGCGCCGCGGGTGCTGCCACACAATGGGCAGGCATGGCCCCCACCGGGCCAGACACCCCCAGAGGGGCCTGCCGGTCCCCGCTACCCCATGCCACAGCGGCCGCTCAGCAGCTCAGCCTCAGACATGTCACTTCAAGTCGAGGATTCCTGGGAGCCTGGCCGGGGCATCAAGAAGAGGAACTCTATGCCACGGCTGAGGGATGCCTACGAGAAGGAGACCTTTGCAGCGCGGAAGATGGCTGACAGCAGTGTGCAGACAGATGAGGAGGACGGCGAGGAGCGGTTCATGCTGTCGCGGCGGCGGCGGACGCGGCGCAGCGCTGACTGCAGCGTGCAGACGGACGAGGAGGACAGCGGGGAGTGGGAGCAGCCCGTGCGCCGCCGGCGCTCCAGGGCCTCGCGGCACACTGAGGCCAGCACCGAGGGCAAGACGGATGGGGCAACCCGCACAGCCAGCGTGGGTATCCAGACCATCAGCGACTGCTCCGTGCAGACAGAACCTGACCAGCTCCTCCGCGTCTCCCCCTCCATTCACATCACCACTCATGACCCCCGAGTGGAGATCGTGAAGTACATCTCAGCCCCAGAGAAGACGCAGCGGGGTGAGAGCCTGGCCTGCCAGACAGAGCCAGAGCCAGCTCCCCAACCTGGCGTCGTGGTCCCCCAACTGACGGTGCCCACCACCATCCCACCCTACTCCACCAACCTCCAAATAGTGAGCACAGGCCCCCTGGACCCCCACACTGTCCGGCAGCAGACCCTGGGCAAGTTTGAAAAGAAGAAGCCAGATCCCCTGGAAATTGGTTACCAATCCCATCTGCCAGCCGAATCTCTCTCCCAGCTGGTGACCCGCCAGCCACCCCGCTCTCCCCAGGTCCTCTACTCACCTGTCTCACCCTTGTCCCCCCATCGCCTCCTGGAGTCCTCCTTTGCCACCAGTGAGCGGCTGAACAAGGCCCACGTCCCCCCACAGAAGCACTTCACCACCGACTTAGCCCAGCGCCAGCAGACGCTGCCGCGCCCCATCAAGACCATGCAGCGCTCCCTGTCTGACCCCAAACCCATCAGCCCCACGTCTGAGGAGGCCGGCAAGGACAGGTTCTCCCTCTACCAACACCCGCTGCTCCCCAGCTCACAGGTACGTCACCACAGGGAACAACCTCACCCTCAGGGAACAGCCCTGGGAGGCACCTGGGGACACTGCGGTTTCATTAGCACTGTGGCAATTAATATTTCAAAAGGCCGGGCCCGCGGCAGCTGATGGCAGCCAGCAGGCACAGCCGTGCGTGCCAATACCAGCAGCTGGAGGGAGGCCCTGGAGGTCCATTGGCTGCATGAGCCTGTCAGCAGGCAGGAGATGCTGCGGGTTGGCAGCATCGGGGCTGTCCCCGGCTCCAGATGGGCCCCCCTTCTCTCTCGAGGAGCTACCACCATGCACGGCTCCTCTTAAGGTTGTGATGGCTCTTGCTCACACCTTTGCCCCCACACACCAAGGTTGCCTTGGGCAGTCAAGTGCCCAGCCAAGAAGTCCCGGGGCAATACCTGGGGCAGCAGCACCCACTGGCAGTTCCCTGAGTCCCTCTGCTAAGTGCCCACGGACAGAAAGCATTTTTTGCAGTAGAGGGTATGCACGTGGCCAGCTCAGCACTTGGCCGGCTGCCACCCCTGGTAATTACTCACGGAAAGCGCCCTGCCTGTTACTTCCATCCTATTTATTGCGCTTTTACATAAACGCCGCTTTCTCGGTGCATGGGGGAACACGTGCACAGCAGGATGCCTCACCCCAGCCCCTAGGGCACGGGAGGACCACTGCAATGCTTGGGGTGGGACGTGGGGGGGACACCCACCTGCCCCCCTGACCAGATGTCCCTTGGCTTTGCAGGTGGGGGGGCTGCAGTCAAGCTCGCTGGCACGCAAGGTGAAGCGGACACTGCCCAGCCCACCACCTGAGGAGCCCCACGTCCCCCTGGCCAGCCCAGCTGCCTCCCAGCTCTACCTGAGCAGCCTGGCTCCCAAGGCCACCGCGCCTGTCACTAAGGCCAGCCTACTGAAGGAGCTGGACCGCGACCTGAGGTTGGTGGAACATGAGGCCACCAAGCTGCGGAAGAAGCAGGCAGAGCTGGACGAGGAGGAGAAGGAGATCGATGCAAAGCTGAAGTACCTGGAGCTGGGCATCACCCAGCGCAAGGAGTCGCTGCTGAAGGATCGGGTTGGTGGGCGGGACCACCCCTACCTGCGCTACCCCGGGGATCGCCGCGACTACCTGTCAGACAGCGAGCTGCACAGCCTGCGCCTCGCCGCCTACGACAGCGCCGGCCTGCGCCCTGCCGGGCAGTACCCCGACTACACCGCCGCCGCCGCCGCCGCTGCCGCCGCCGCCGCCTCCTATGGCGCCTACCCGTACCCTGCCCCGCAGGGCCCCACCGCCTTCCCACCACCGCGCCTCCAGCACCCCCAGTACCCCACAGCCAGCACCTCACAGGATGGCTTGCCGGCAGCTCCACTGCCCACCTTTACTTCGCCTGGTGGCTTCTCGGCCCCCGGCACCGCATACCCAGAGCTGGGCACCCCAGCCCAGCCAGGCTTCCAGCCCCAAAACCCCTACCAAGCCCCGAGCGCCTTCGCTGGGGCAGCCACCGTGCCGGCGGCCCAGCCCACCCTCTACCAGAGCCCAGCAGATGTAGCTGGCGGGCACCAGAAGCCGCGGCAGACTTCTCTGGCTGACCTAGAACAGAAGATCCCCACCAACTACGAGGTCATTGGTGCGGCCACCAGCTCCTCTGCCGTGCCTGACGTCACCTTCAGCACGGCACCGGCGAGCGGTGGCTATGAGCAGTACAAGGCACCTGAGACCCGGCCAGCTGAGAGAACCAGCACGGCACCGGGCCCCTCAGCCAGCTACTCTTCCGAGTCCCTCTACACCAGTCTGGAGCAGAACATCCCCCGTAACTATGTGATGATCGAGGACATCAGCGAGCTCACCAAGGAGAGTCCAGCAGTGGATGGGCAGAAAGCAGAGCCAGTGGGCACGAGCACCGATAGCCGCCACAGCAGAGAGAAGAGTGATCTAGGGGACACCGAGGGCTCCGGCCGTCCCTGCTGCTACACCAAAGCTGAGGAGGAGTCTGAGGAGGACATCTATGATCACCATGGCTCCGACCATCGTGGGAAGAACAGCTACTACCGGGGCACAGAAAGCAATGGCAGGGTGTCAGGGAGCTCCACCAGCTCGAGCTACTACTATGGGGACAGTGAGTACCGGCACTCCTCACGGATGGACAAGCACAGCTCTGGCACGCCACTACCGAAGCATTCATCCAAGAACTTGGCACCTGCTGTCATCTCCTCCAAGCGCAGCAAGCACAGGAAGCAGGGCATGGAGCAGAAGATCTCCAAGTTCTCCCCCATTGAAGAAGCCAAAGACGTAGAGTCAGACCTGGCCTCCTACTCAACAACCACCTCAATTGGCAGCAGCAATGTGGCCTCCAGGGCCAAGAAGATGCAGGATGAGATCACCTATGGCCTGAAGAAGAACGTCTATGAGCAGCAAAAATACTACGGTGTCTCCAGCCGGGATCTGGTGGATGAGGAGGAGCAGGTCTACTCTTCCAGCAGCAGAACTCGCTCCTCTGGCTATGGGGTGGAAAAGTCCTCCAGCCGGGAGATGGGCGGCCGGAGCAAGTCCTATGAGCGGGAGAGCATGGAGCGCTCCCAGAAAGTCAGCTCCAAGCCCTCATCCCTCAGCATGAGCCAGAGCCGTGGGCGGGCGCCCATGCGCTCGCAGCCCTCGGAGGAGGAGAGCCCTGTCAGCCCCATGGGGAAGTCAATGGGGGGGTCACGCACTGCAGGAGGGCCGGGCCCCCAGTCAGCGGGGGACCCCTGCTCCCAGTTCTGCTCCAGCCACTCGTTGCCTGATGTGCAAAAGCACATCAAAGACGTGCCAAGGAGTCACTCGTACAAGCACGAGGAGGGCTACGGCATGGATGATGCCCATTGCGTTGTCTCGGACAGCGAAGGTAACAGCTCCCCGTGGTGACCACCCCAGAGCATGGCACTTCCCCGGGGCATGCCCGTCCGCTCGTACGCAGAGACACTCTCACCGCCTCAGTTTGCTTGACACGTGCCTTCCTCCCCCTGCCCTGGGTGTTCGGTGTTAGCCGGTCCTGCACAGTGCCCTGCTGCGCCGCGTCCCGTCCCCACCGGCACGTGCTGTCCCCTGCGCGCGTGCCCGCTGCTTGTCCCTCCCACTTCATTGCATGGCTTCCGCCCGCGCAGCCTCGAGCGAGAGATTGACTGTGGTTTGTTTTTGGTTTCCGAAGCCTATCATTTGGGTCAGGAGGAGACAGACTGGTTTGATAAGCCCAGGGAGGCGCGGGCAGAGAGGGTCAGGCACTACGGTGGCCACTCTTCCTCACAGAAGAGACCCCCAGTTAAGCACACCTACCACGATTATGACGAGCCCCCCGATGAGGACCCGTGGCAGCACGACGACTACCCCCAGCACCGCGAGCACCGGCACCACAGGGAGTACGATCGCCACGCTGGCTCCTCCCGGCACGCCAGCGACGAGCCCCCACGCCGCTCATCGAAGCAGCACCCACGAGAATCTGGCCGCCATGAGCCCCGTGGCCATGGGCCTTCAGCCGGCCCCAAGAAGGCGCAGCAGCCCGAGTCCCGTGCGCCTTACGGCCCCAGCTCCGCTGATTACGCCCCGTCATCCCGCCCCGCTGCTCACCACCATGGCACTGAGACCCCCAAGGCACAGAAACCTTCCCAGCCGCATGGGCCGGCCACGCCAGCGCCGAAGCAGGAGCCCCTCACACACCCACAGCAGCCGGCGGCCAGGCAGCAGCAGGCAGGGCAGCCGGCAGCGCGGCAGCAGCCGGCAGCACGCCAGGCTGCCCAGCCAGCAAGCTCGGCGCAGCCCGAGACCAGGGGCAGGACACAGGGACCCCCCTCATCCCGGCCACCGCAGCAGCAGCCAGGGCCGGCCCAGGCAGCAGGGAAGGCACCAGCCACACTCCATGCACAGCCGGGCGGACACCCAGCACCGGCGGTAAGTACGGGCTTGGCTGGCCAGGCTGCATCCTGACCCCACAGCTCTGCCTGGAATCGGCACCGCTGGCTGCGGCCAGGGGCTGGCAGGGGAAGTGTTGGGAATGGGAGGCATGGAGTAAAGTATATCCCACTCACACACCCAATACAGACACCCATAGGTACTGTGGAAGCTGCCATCCCCTCGAGGGGACCCAGGAGGGGACATCACTATGTCCTGGATCCCTTGCTGCCTCTTCTGGGGTTGTGGAGCAGTGTTTGGGGGTTTTGGTGTCACCTCCTGGCCTGGCCCACCCCTGGCAGATGCTCTACTGGGAGGGTGAGCCCTGAGAGCTGTTTTCCTCTTTCCAGACAAAAGTGGAGCCGACAGACACGTCCAAACCTGCAGCAAAAGTGCCACAGCAGGCGGGGAGAGCGCCATCAGCACAGCCCCTGGGAGCAGCAGGTCAGTGAGCCCCAGTGCACTGTGCCATCTGCCCCACCTCATGCCAGCTGCCTGGCACCCCAAAGCTTGGCTGAGCTCTCCCAGCTGGACCTGTCCCCTGCTAACAGTGGCTTCATTTTTCCCCCAGCAGACAGCAAGGCCGGTCCAAGGGCGGCTGGGCCACGTGGTCCCGCAGGCATGGCCACAGGGCAGCCTGGCGGGGAAGGAGAGAGTGTCTTCTCCAAAATCCTGCCAGGGGGGGCAGCGGAACAAGCAGGCAAACTGACTGAAGGTGAGGGCTGCTCCCGGGATGGGGACAGGGCGGTGGTGCCTTCTGCACTGAGACGGAGTCAGGCACCTTGGGGATGGCTGGGTGCAGCCAGTGGGGTGCAGTGCTCCCACAGTTTGGGGCCCAGGGAGGTGGGGGACCAGGGTCACTACGCCATACTGACACTGTCCTGGCTTCCCCACAGCGGTGTCAGCTTTCGGCAAGAAGTTCACTTCGTTCTGGTGAGAGAACGGCACAAGGTGAGTGCAGCCAGCTTTGGGCACTGTGCTGTGGGCTCTCCCTGCCCTGGCCGTGCCTGATGCCCTCCTCCTCCTCCCTTCCACTGCAGGAGTTTGGGAAGTGAGTGGAGATTTGAGTCGTTGCAGTGGAAAAACCTATGAAGAAGCCAATGAATTCAGCACGCGGCGCCAGACTCTGAGTATAACGGTGAGTGTACAGGGCACACAAGTCCCCTCCGCCGTGCCAGCTCTGAGGTTCCAGCAGCACCACTGTCCCCCGAGCATCTGCTGAGCCCTGCTTTGCCATGCTCCCAGCCTCCAGGCTGGGAAAGACATAGCATGGACCCATCCCCTTCGTGTTGGGCCACTCATTGCCACCTTCATCCCCAGGTGCCGGCCCCAAGCCATGGCGTGGAGGCTTGGCCTTGTTCCACAGCCTCGGCAGCGCTGGGGCAGACCCTGGGTTTCCAGGGAAGCTTTGGGCGGTCCGGGCTCTGCTCCGGGAGTCCGTCCAGCGCGGGGGCGGGCGGAGGCGGCGGCAGCTGCTCCGCCGGCAGTGCCTCTTGGCTCTCTGGGGCCTTTTCGCTCGGGCCATCGCTGCCGCTCGGCGGGGACCCTTCCGCGGGGACGGGCTGCTCGGACTAACGCCTCTCCCTCTTGCTTTCTCTCTCTCTCTGTGTTTCTTTCTCTCGCTCTCCTTCTCTGTCTCTCGCAAGCTTTTGAAAACAGGGCGATCCCTGGATGCTGGACCAAACGACGGCCGAGCAGGGGCCCGGCGGACGCCCCGGGGCGGGTGCCCCCACGCCTGGCGAGCAGCTCCGGCGCGGCACTCGGCGAGCCCCGGCAGCTGCCCCGAGGGGATGGGCCTGGTCCGGACCGTGGGCTCAGGCCCCGTAGGTCGGCTGCGGCCCTTTCTCAAGATTATACGCAGAGTTGCTCCCTCTGAACCCCAGCTCTGGCCTCTTCATAGGTTTTTCCCCCCCGCGAGCCGAGGGCTGGGCGCCGTGGGCGCCGCTCCTCCTTCCCGACCCCACCCGCCCCGCCGGGGCCGTCCCCGCGCCCCCCGCACCGCGGCCGCGCCCGGCCCCGCGGGGAGCCCGGAGCGCGTCAGCTAGGACCTAACACTGTTTCACTACCGAAATACGAGGCCATAGGACTCTGACAGGCGGCGCGGCCGGCTGGGCGCGTGTCCCGAAGCCATTGGAAGCATTGAAAGGGCCGCGCTCGCCCTCGCCACGCAGCCAGCGCGCCTGCCGCCGGGCACCCCTTTTCTTTCGAGAACAGCCTTAATCATCCCACTTTGATTTCGTCGTCAGGGGGGGTCCTTTTTTCCTCGGTTTCTTTGGGTTCATTTTCTTTTGGTTTCGGGGTTTTATTTTTCTAAAGTTTATACCAAATCCTCTTCCCTCTTTGCTTTGTGCGATGAGTTAGCACACGGGCTGTCGTCTGTAGAAGCAATAGAGTGCAGGAGGCTACAAAAGAGCACAAATCCCGTGGAACAAGATCAGGAGAGCTTTGCCTCCGGCAGTATCCTTCCTTTTACTGTGCAATCCAAGTCCTTCTCAAGCCATTTTGCGGGGACGGCCGGCGCAGCGGCCGGCGGCCGAAGCCCACTCGCCCTGCCAGGAGGGGATTCCCAGGGGGGGAGGCAGCCCGAGGAGGGGGCTCGCCCGCGCCCCGCCGCCTCCCCTCGCTGGCAGCGCCCCGCCGACACCCCCGTGGCGGGGGGCAGCCGCCCGCTCACCCGCCTGATGTTCTATGCAACGAAATAACACGACTCCAGAACAAGACCTGTGAATAGCTAATCAGTTCAATGTCGCGCCTAAGGGTTCCATCGCAAAGCGTGCCGCCGAGCGACCCGAGAACTATTCAGTACCGACCACCCGTGCGTATGAATTCGTGGCATGTTCGACCCACGGAGGGCCACTTTGCCAAAGGGCAGCCCTAGCGCCCGTGACCGTCTGTCCCGTCGTAGAGCATGGCTTGCTACTTCTCTGCACGGTTCCACCCGCCTTTCAGTGCTTGCTGTTCTTTGCCTGGACTTTTCTTTTTTTTCTTCTCCATCAGTCCATCGCTGTACTGAAAGCTCTTAGCAGATTTATGCACTTGTGACCGAGGACCCGGCTGCCGCGGGAAGCCCGCGCTCTGTGGCAGATCCCTCGCCGGGAGCTCTGCCGGTGCCCAAGGCTGGGGGCAGGCCGGCGGCTGTGGGTCGGGGATGCCGGGGCAGCCCCAGGGAGGCGAGCCCGCCGGCCCCGCCGCTCCTCGCGCTGTAAATACTTGTACAGTGTGTAAATCGCACGCGGGACCGAGACCCCCGCCGGGCCAACCTCGCCGCCCCAGCACATCCGCCGCCTTGCCTTCGTGCCTGCCGGGAGCGGGGCCGCGCAGCCCCCGCCGGGCCGGGCCCCCCGCCCGAGCTGCGGCAATCTGCTGGGCAGGGCGGGGGCCGGGGGTGCCGACACCGCGGGCCGAGCGCGGCTGGGCGCCGTTTCCAGCGGTAAGTGCGATGCCGGGTGCGCTCCCTCTGAACATTGTGACGGTGTGCGTGTCTGCTGTGCTCTGTGCCACCCGTAGTGACCCCGTACCGTGCCGTACCGTGCCGTACCGTGCCGTACCACCCCCGCCGCTGTGTCGTGACTCCCTCCCAGAAGCTGCCCCCTCACCAGGTGTTTCTGTGGGAACAGAATAAAAAGGACTTGACACAAACCACGGACTGGCCCTGATTCTTGCCTGCCTGCAGTGTGGGGGGCGGGGGATCGGGACCCCAGCCGTGGTGGGGGTGGCCGGAATGGGTCTAGTTGTCACCAAGCACTGTTGAGCTCTGCCACTCACAGCCGGGCTGCTGCGATCCCTGTGGGCATCAAGGACCCGATCTCACCTCCCTAGCCAGGCTGCTGGGTCCCGTGGGCTCCCAAGGGCCCAATCCCCGTTGGCAGGGCTGCTGTGGGCACCAGTGACTCAATCTCACCCCCTGACCAGGCTGCTCAGTCCCAAGGGCCCTCGATAGCCCGATACCCCCCAACCAGGCTGCTGGGCTGGGGATCCCTGTGCCTCTCAGGAGTCCGATCCCCCTGTCCTGCGCATAGAGCCCCTGTTCCGCAGCCACCCGGTGGGTAAACCACCCCGGGGCGATCCGGAGGCTGCGGGGCCGCGGCCCGTCCCCCGGCTGCGGCCTCGGAGGGCCCCGCGGGCGGCGCGGTGTGAGGGGACCCCGCTGCCCGCGGCTGCCGCGCCGCCCGCGCCCACCGGGGGGCGCCTCGGAGCGGGAGGTGGCCCGAGCGCCGCAGCCAATGGGAGGTGCCGCAGGCCACGGCCCCGCCCCATCCCGGAAGTGCCACGCCTGGCCGCGCCCCCCGCCGCGAGGACATGGAGCCGCCGGTGAGGGGATGGGGGGAGTGACGTCAGAGCCCCGGGACCCCCCCGCCCTGCCCCGGGGCCCCGCCCGCCCGCACCCCGACCCCGCTGCTCCGCTGCGCTCCGGCCCGGGAACTGCCCGGGAACTGCCCCGGTACCTCCTACACCCCCCGGACCCCGACTGCTGCGGGACCCTCCCAGGCGCCCTGGCCCCCAGGACCTGCACTGAATATCCCGGTACCACGGGTGCCCCAGCAACTGCCCAGTGCCCTCCGGGTGCCGGCTGTGTACCCAGTGTCTGCTCTCCCGTGCCCTCCCGGTACCCAGTGTCTGCTCCCCAGTGCCCTCCTGGTCCCGGCTGTGTACCCAGTGTCTGCTCCCCAGTGCCCTCCCGGTACCCCAGTAGAGTCCTGGCTCTGCACTCCCGGTACTGCCCCAGTCCGGCACTACTCTCCTGCCCCCATGTACCCCCCAAAATCCCCCCGTCTATGCCGGAGCCCCAGTAAGTGCCCTGTGCCCCATTACTCCCCGGACCGTGCCCCCCACCCCTGCAGCCACCCCGGTGTGTCCCGCAGGCGCAGCCACGTGCGGAGGAGCTGTCGGAGCTGTACCGAGAGCTGAGCCAGCACCCGGGGCTCAGCAGTGCCTGCCTCGGCCCCGACCTCACCACCCAGTACGGGGGCAAGTACTGCAGCCTCTACACCGGTACGGGCACGGGGAGGACCGGGGGGAAGGAGGGACCCAGGGAGTCCTTGCCTGGCTGGTGGGGATGCCGCTGCTGTCCTCACCCTGCTCCCTGCAGAGTGGTCGCAGCGGGACCTGGCAAGGGCTGAGAACATCAAGTTCTGCCGTCAGTACCTCATCTTCCACGATGGAGCCTCCATTGTCTACTCAGGGCCTGCCGGCACCTGCTCTGAGATCAAGGACGAGTAAGTGCCATCCCGCCCCCACACGTGGTCCTCGGGGAAGCGATAACTGGGGGGCTGATGGGCCTCACTGCCCCCCAGGCTGCTGAGCCGGGAGTCCCCCAGTGGGATGCTGAAGGCTGTCCTGCGCAAGGTCTCTGGCAAGGAGAAGGAGAAGCAGTTCCTGGAGGTGAGGAGGGTTCTGAGGGAAAATGGATGTATTCACTGGGGTTCGGGGCTGGAACCACACCGTGTCTTGGGACCGCCCTGGCATCTCTGCCCCCAGATCTGGGATCAGAACCGGAAGGTGAAGAGCATCGACCTGACAGCGCTGGACAAGCATGGCAGCGTCTACGATGATGGTGAGGGGCTGGGGGCTGCCAGGGAATGTGGGTTTTCAGGGGACTGGGTGGCCAGTGCTGACCTGCCCCCGCAGACCAGTTTGGGTGCCTTGCCTGGTCTCACTCCGAGACCCACCTGCTCTATGTGGCGGAGAAGAAGCGTCCCAAGGCTGAGTCCTTCTTCCAGAGCAAAGCCCCCGAGCTGGGCACCTCTGATGAGGACACGGGGCACCCCAAGAAGGAGGATGCACCCATCAAGGTGGGGTGTCCCCACCCTGGGTCAGCTGGGGGCTGGCTGTGTGGCTGTGGGGCTGACCAGACTGTGCCACAGGGCGAGCAGTTCGTGTACCACGAGGACTGGGGCGAGACGCTGAGCACCCGCAGTGTGCCCGTCCTCTGCGTCCTGGACATCGAGGGCAACAGCATCTCGGTGCTGGAGGGCATCCCAGAGCACCTCTCTCCCGGCCAGGTCAGCATGGGGAGCTGCAGGGAACCAGAGACAGGAGGTTCAGGAGCCAGCAGCATTTTGAGCTGCTTGTCTCCCCTCTCCCCACAGGCTTTCTGGTCACCTGAGGACACTGGTGTGGTGTTTGTGGGCTGGTGGCACGACCCCTTCCGCCTGGGGCTGCGGCACTGCACGAACCGCCGGTGAGGCCCCGCAGGGCACCCCACAGCCCAGCCCTGCCGGTAGGACCCTGCAGGGCACCAGCCCCACAGCCTGGCCCCACAACCCCACTGTGACACCCCTCTGTGCTGGCAGGTCAGCGCTCTTCTACGTGGACCTGACAGGCGGGAGATGCGGTAAGCAGAGCATGCCCCGATCCTGCTGGTGCCCTGGCTCCCTGCCACCCCTCACCGGCCCCTCACCATCCCCTCATCATCCCCTCACTGTCCCCTCATGCAGAGCTGCTCTCTGAGGACACCAAGGCCGTGTGGTCACCGCGACTCAGCCCCGATGGCTGCCGCATCGTCTACCTGCAGAACAATGTCCTGGGCCCCCACCAGCAGTGCAGCCAGCTCCGCATGGTGAGCAGCACCAGGGGGACACTGGCAGGCACCAGGGAGGTGCCAGGGTGCCCACGATAAGGTGGGGCTGGGGAGGGCAGTGGTGTCCCCTCCTTGGGCTGCAGTGGGGGCAGGCAGGCTGAGACCCTGCAAAACTTGCTCTATGCCATGTCTCCTGCAGTACGACTGGTACACCAAACACACCAGCACGGTGCTGGAGGCTGTGCCACGGCAAGCATGGGGTGAGTACAGCTCTGGGGGTGTTGGGGGAGACTCAGGGGGATGCTGAGTACTGCCACTCTGATCACAGGTGCCTTCCCGGGAATCTACTGCGGCGCACTGCCAGGGATGTGCTGGGCGGCCGACAGCCGCAGGATCCTGCTGGACACGGCCCAGCGCAGCCAGCAGGTGAGGGGTGGTGGGGGACACAGGGCAGCCTGCCTGGGTCAGGGCTCCACTGAACTCTGCCCTCATGCCCCTAGGATGTGTTTGTGGTGGACACAGCAACAGGCACCACAACTTCGCTGACAGCTGGTGAGTGAGGCCAACGGGGCCATGCTGGTGCCAGGAGTGGGGAGAGGGTCACACCTGCAGGTCTGACCCCCTCCTCCCCAGATTCTCCCCAGGGAAGCTGGTCTGTCCTCACCATCAACCGGGACCTCTTGGTGGCCAGGTTTTCCACCCCTAGCTGCCCCCCCATGTTGGTAAAGTCATGTCCCCAGTGCCCACCAGCCCCTTGGCATGGGCACTGACCCCTCTCCCCAGTGCCCACCAGGCCCTTGGCATGGGCACTGACCCCTCTCCCCAGTGCCCACCAGGCCCTTGGCATGGGCACTGACCCCTGTCCCTGCACAGAAAGTGGCAGTGCTGCCCGCCGCCGGCCGTGAGGCACAGACACAGTGGATCTGCCTGCAAGATTCCCCCCCTGTGCCTGGCATCAGCTGGGGCATCCGCACCCTGCAGCCCCCACCAGAGCAGGAGCATCCCCAGTACGGTGAGTGCCCAGGGTGGGGTCAGGCTGTGCTCCACCACCCTCACTGCTCCCTGACACCCCCTCCCTGCCTCCACAGGGGGCCTGGACTTCGATGCCATCCTGATGCGCCCAAGCGAGGGTCCCACTGGCCAGAAGCCCCCCTTGGTTGTGATGCCCCATGGTAAGAGCTGGTCCCCACGCCACTGTACCCCAGCCAGGCAGCGCCAGGCAGTGTCACCCCCTTTTGCTTTTGCCATTTGCAGGTGGTCCTCACTCTGTCTTCACGGCCGGGTGGATGCTGTACCCGGCGGCGCTGTGCCGTGTGGGCTTTGCCGTGCTGCTGGGTGAGTGACACCAGGGCTCTGGTGACACAGCACCAGAGGGGTGGGGGCATGAAGGAGGAAAGGCTCTGACACTGCTCCCCACGCAGTGAATTACCGCGGCTCGCTGGGCTTCGGCCAGGACAGCGTGGCCTCCCTGCCAGGCAACGTGGGCACACAGGACGTACACGATGTGCAGGTAAGGCCTGGCACATGGTCCTGGGGCACCCTGTGCTCCTTTAGGTGCCCTGAGAAGGGAAATGGGGCTGCCTGCTCAGTGGGTGTTCCCCGTGGCGGCAGCTCTGCGTGGAGCGGGTGCTGCAGGAGGAGACGCTGGATGCTAGCCGGGTGGCTCTGGTCGGCGGCTCACATGGGGGCTTCCTGGCGTGCCACCTCATCGGGCAGTTCCCTGACACCTACCACGCCTGTGTGGTCCGCAACCCCGTGGTGAACATCGCCTCCATGGTGACCACCACCGACATCCCGGACTGGTGAGTACTGCTGCCCCAGCTTCCCAGGCTCCTTGCCATCCCAGCCACACATGTGCCCCCAATTCTCTTGCCTGCAGGTGCCTGACAGAGACAGGGCTTCCCTACAGACCTGATGCCCTGCCAGACCCAGCCCAGTGGACAGAGATGCTGCACAAGTCACCCATACGCTATGTCGACCGGGTATGTCACTGTCCCCATCCTTGTCCCTGTCCCCAACAGCCGTGCCAGTGCTGAGGCTGTGCTGCTCCTGCAGGTCCGTGCACCCGTGTTGCTGATGCTGGGGGAGGATGACCGGCGTGTGCCCCCCAAGCAGGGTCTGGAGTATTACCGTGCCCTCAAGGCTCGGGGTGTGCCCACACGGTGAGTGGGGTGCTGAGGGCTTGAGCTGTGGGGTGCAGACACGGCACTAATCCCTGTTTCTCCTCCAGGCTGCTCTGGTACCCAGGGAACAACCATGCGCTGGCTGGTGTCGAAGCCGAAGCTGACGGCTTCATGAACATGGCGCTGTGGCTGCTCAAGCACCTGCAGTGCTAAGGGTGCTGAGCCCTGCTGCTGACCCCCAATAAACGATGTAGTTCAGCACCCCAGTGTCTCTAGTGGTAGTGCTGTCATTTCCACTCCTGCAGCTCCGGGAGCTGGTGGCCACTGGACCTTGCGGTTGTGCCGCCGGGGATGTGTTGGGCCATGGGCAGGGTGAGGCTGCCTGGCCATGCGGGGCACGGGGAGCGGCTGCCGGGCTGGCCCCGGCCGGGCGCTGCCGCCGGGCTCTGCTGCGTGCCTTGGCAGCCGTCCCAGCGCGGGCGGCAGGCGCCGGCAGAGAACAGCCCCATGGCCACAGGGACCCAGAAGGGTGTGGAGGTGGGCAAGGGGCTCAGGGGAGCTGTGTGGGTGGGCACAGCCCCGCTTCGGGCGGTGGGCATGGGCAGGCGGTGAGCTTACCCCCGTCCCGCGTGTCCCCTCCCTCATCCAGGCGGCCCGCGGCCCCGCTGCCTGCTACCGGGAGCTGAGCCGCTTCCCTGCCGTCACCCGTGCCGCCCTCAGGGCCGCGGCTGGGGGCCAGACCTTCCTGCTCTACACCGGTGAGTGCGGGCTCGGCACCCCCGCGCCTTGGGCCCGCTGTGAGCGGGCGCTGACGCTGCCGTCCCTCAGAGTGCAGCCGCCCCGACCCGGCCCGCCGGCGGCTCCTGCGCTTCGGCCGCCACTACAGCCTGCGGCGCACAGCCGGCCGCGAGGGCCTCGCCGTCAGCCGCACCGCGCTCAGCGCCGAGATCCACAGCCAGTAGGGCACGGGCGGGCTGCTGGGTGGGCGCTGTGTCCGTGCCGCGGCCGCCGCCCCTGTGCAGCGCACGGCCCGCCGCAGCCGCGTCCCTGCCGCCCTCAGGCCCCTCAGCCGGGACTCGCCCTCGGGCCGGCGCCGCGCCGCGCTCCAGCGCTGCCCGCCGCAGGGCCACGAGCTGCTGGAGGTAACGCGGCTGGCGCTGGCCGGGGTGCCAGTGCAGGGCGGTGGGCACCGTCTACACGGTGTGCCGGTGCTGACATCCGTCCCCTCAGGTGTGGGACAGCGAGGGATGCAGCCACAGCGTGGATCTCACGGCGCTGGGGAAGCACGGGGACGTCTACACGGAGGGTAGGGCCCTTTCCCCTGGTCCCTGCGCACAGCAGGGTGAGGCTGGCATGGCCAACAGCCCTGGTGGCTGCCTGGTGCCCAGCTGTGCCTGTACCAGGCTGGGCTTTGGCACCCTCTTGCCGTGCCAGGGCCCTTTGCCTGCCTGGCCTGGTCACGCTCAGAGACACGGCTGCTCTATGTGGCTGAGAAGAGCCGGCCCAAACGACAGCCCCCCTGCCCCTGGGATGTGCCAGGAGCAGCCTGGCCAGCAGCAGAGGATGAGGATGAGGAGGTAGGTGCCCCATGGGTGTGTTCAGTGCACCCCCAAGCATGCCATGTGCACTGTGAACATGGTACATGCCCCTTGGGCATACCAGCCACCCCCTGAACATGCTGTGCACCCCATGAGTGTGCCACACATCCCATGAGTGTGTCATGGACAGAGCTGTGTGCCTGGGGGCACGGGCCATGGGCTGATGGGTCTGTGCCACAGGGCAAGCAGTTTGTGTACCACGAGGACTGGGGAGAAGCCCTGAGCTCACGAAGCGTGCCAGTCCTCTGCGTCCTGGACCTGAAGGGCCTCAGCCTGTCAGTGCTGGAGGGGGTCCCAGAGCACCTCTCCCCTGGCCAGGTCAGGATGGGTGCAGGCAGTGCCCCAGGGGACCTGGGGCCGTGGGATGAGCCTGACTGTCACACAGGCCCTGTGGTCCCCGGATGACCGTGGTGTGGTGTTCGTGGGCTGGTGGCACACGCCCTTCCGCCTGGGACTGAACGCCTGCTCCAACAGGAGGTGGGTCCCAGCCAGCAACCAGCACCATGCCAGGATGTCCATGCAGTGTCAGCCCAGTGGGGGTTCAACCTGACCCACTCTTTCCTCCCAGGTCAGGGATTTTCCACTTGGACCTGGCCAGCGGGTGCTGCGGTGAGTGCTGGGGCCCTGGGGGTGCCTGGGCGTCCCTGGGATGCTGACCCCTTGCTGCCCACAGAGCTGCTGTCAGCAGAGAATGGTTCTGTCTGCTCCCCGCGGCTGAGCCCTGATGGCCAGCGCCTGCTCTACCTGGAGGGGGCTGTGGGGGGGCCCCACCGGCAGTGTCTGCGCCTGCGCATGGTGAGTTGGGCCTCAGGGGCACCAGGCATGGCTGTGCTGCCAGCACAGTGCACAGGTGTGACAGCCTCTGGCAGTGCCTGGCTGGGGTGGGGGTGTCCCCCAGCCTCCCTGCCTCAGTTTCCCCTGGCATGGGTCCATCCCTGAGCACTAGCTCTCCCCAGCTCACCTGGCAGACAAGGCAGACGGTGACAGTGCTCGACGTGGTTCAGGAGCCCACAGAGGGTGAGCCAGGCATGGTGGGCAGAGCTGGGTTCTGATGGGGGCTGGTGCCACCCCGTGCCAGGTGCCCATGACCCTGGCTCAGTAGCCCAGTGCTCTGTCCGCCTTGCAGCCTTTGCTGGGCTCTACGCAGAGGCGCTGCCCCTGCAGTGCTGGGCAGCTGACAGCCGGCGAGCCGTGCTGGGCACCCCTCAGCGGAGCCGCACCGTGAGTCCAGGGATGGCAGGGCAGGGACGTGACCCACACAGCCCATGGTGACACCGCTGCCTGTGCTCTGCACCCCCACAGGACCTGCTGCTCGTGGATACGGAGGAGTGCACTGTCACCAACCTCACAGCAGGTACATGGTACAGCCACCCATGGTGCTCTAGTGAGCAGCTGTGATCACCAACACGTGTTCTGTCCCCAGGGTCATCTGAAGGGTGCTGGGAGCTGCTCACTCTCCAGTGGGACCTGCTGGTGGCCACCTGCTCAGCCCCCCACCATCCCCCCAGCCTGGTGAGCAGTGCCCTGGCACCATGTGGCACAGTGGGATATGGCACAGCAATGTGCAGCCAGGCACAGCACGGTGTGGCACACACGCCATGGTGTGGTGTGGCACAGCCAGATCCAGTATGTCACAGCTTTGTCACGGCACAGCCCCAGTGTCATCCATTGTCTGTGCCCAGGTGGTGGCCGTGCTGCCGCCGGCAGGCCAGGAGTTGCCCCTTGTCTGGGTGCCAGTGGAGGACACCCCAACCGTGCCTGGTGTCACCTGGAAGACCCTGACGTTACAGCCACCCTGCAGTGGGCAGGGCCCCGCTGCACAGGGTGAGCCCCTGGGAGCCCCTGCTGCACCTTGGTGCTGCCTGGGTGCCAGGAACCCTTGGGAGTGGCAGGGGGGCAGGGTGCTGTGTGCCCAGGGTGGTGGCCTCTGAGTGGGACCCCTTCCCTGGCGCAGGTACCCAAGCTTTTGAGGCCCTGCTGCTGAGCCCCTCAGATGGCACACCACCACACCCCCTCGTTGTGTGCCCCCATGGTGAGTGCGGGGACAGTGGGGACACCCTGGCAGTGCTGGTGGCACCCCAGGTGATGCCCATGCTGGCCCCAGGTGGCCCCCACGCTGTCTTCGATGCCCGCTGGCGTCCGAGCATGGCTGCGCTGTGCCGGCTGGGCTTTGCCGTGCTCCTGGGTGAGTGCTGGGGAGCTCAGGGTCATGTGGCCCTGTGTCCCAGTGAGACATGGCACCCATGGCCCTGTCTCCTCAGTGAACTACCGTGGCTCCCTGGGCTTTGGCCAGGCCAGCATCAGCTCCCTGCTTTCCCGTGTGGGTGAGCAGGATGTGGCAGACACCCAGGTGAGGGGTGCTGGGCTGAGGGTGCTGGAGGGATGCTGCTGGGAGGATGCTGCTGTTTGGGTGCCAATGGTGGGTGCCCCACGGGTGCAGCTGGCAGTGGAGCAGGCGCTGCACAGAGAGCCCCTGGACCCGCACCGCCTGGCCCTGCTGGCTGGCTCCCACGGAGCCTTCATCGCCCTCCACCTCCTCGCCCGTGAGCCTGAGCGTTACCAAGCGTGTGCCCTGCGCAGCCCTGTCTCCAACCTGCCCGCGCTGCTGGGCACCTCTGACATCCCCGACTGGTGAGTGCCAGCCCCATCCTGTGCCATGCCATGCCATGTCCCTGTGATACCTACCAGTGTCTCTGTGCTGCAGGCGCTACACCTCCCTAGGGCTGCCCTACTCCTTCGAGCGGGTGCCGTGTGCTGAGGAGGTGGCCACCATGCTGCTGCGCTCGCCCATCGCCCAGGCAGCCCAGGTAAGCAGGGTCAGCATGGGTGTGGGGTGCTGGGTGTGGGGTGCCAGGTGTGGGGTGTCAGACACCCACCGAGGGCAGTGCTGCAGGTGCAGACACCGGTGTTGCTGTGCGTGGGCGCCCGGGACCGGCGCGTCAGCCCCACACAAGCACTGGAGCTGTACCGGGTGCTGCGGGCCAGGGGTGTGCCAGCACGGTGAGTGGCGTGCAGGTGGGAGCCAGGAGGGAGCTCTGGGGTGCTGGATGAGCATCTTCCCATCCTGTCCCTCCCCACAGGCTGCTGTGGTACCCAGAGGGTGGCCATGCACTGGCTGGTGTGGAGACGGAGGCTGATGTCTTCAAGAACTGTGCCCACTGGTTCCTCCAGCACCTGGGGCAGCCCAGGAAGGATGGGACAGGCCAGCACAGCCCCTAGTGCCCACAGTGGTCCTGGGCTATGCCAGCCCCAGAGTGACTGCTGGCCCTGGGGACCACACCAGGACCAGAGGCAGATAGAGTGAGTGTAGCCAGGGGCAGGGATGTGGGTTGGGGTTTGGTGTTAAATAAATGTGAGACCCTGTGCAGTGCCAACCCCTGTGGCCAAGGCTGTGCCTTTATTGTGCAGTGGCAGCTGTGCCAGGCTGGGAATGCCAGCTCAACCCATCTTCATCACCTTGTAGATCCAGTCTACATAGAGGGAAACACGGATGAAGAGGGCGGGCAGGTCAGTGCGGGCACAGACACGCGAGGGGGTGATCACCCCCTCCAGCACCCAGCAGTCAGCGGTGAGGCAAGCCAGTGGTCCGCCGTAATCGCCCTGTGGCACAAAGAGAGTGGTGTCACCCTGGTGCCAGCACCTGCCGCCACCTGGGGGTGGGTGTCGCCAGCCCAGCTCACCTCGCAGGCACCCACGCCGGCGCGCAGCGGGGCAGTGCACAGCTCGCTCTCCTTCAGGCGCCCGCGCAGCGCCCTGTCACACTCACTGTGGGCCAGCACTGGCAGCCGTGCCACGTTCAGCACGCTGCCGTCTGCCGTGCCTGCGGGCACAGAGCGCGGGGCAGCGGGCATGGGGTGCAGCATCGTGTGTGCAGGGATGCAGGGCAACGGCACGGGCAGGGGATGGCATGGACAGGAGGATGTCATGGCAGTAGATGTCATTGCAGGGGGATGTGGAAGGGAGATGTTGTGGAAGAGGGATGCCATGGACGAGGTGATACCAGGGGCAAGGGATGCTCTAGTCAGGGTGATGGAATGGGCAGGAAAACACCATGGAAGGGAGATGCTGTGAGCTGGGGTATGCCAGGGATCTGGGTGTTGCTGCAGGCAGGGGATACTTCAAGCAAGGGATGCTGTGGGCAGGGAGATGCCATGGACATGGAGATGCTGTGGGCAGAGGGGATGGAATGGTTTTGGCAGGGGCTGTATTGAACAAGGAATCCCCCAGCAGGGGCTGCCTGTGGCAGGTACCTCTGGTTTCCCCCCAGCCGGCAATCTCGCAGACACTGCCCGCAGGCACAACATAGCGCTCGGGGGGCAGGCAGATCAGGGCCACACGCCTGCTCAGAACAGCTGGCCTGTGGCAAGAGGGGCAGTGGGACACGTGCCAGCCTGGCCAGCAGTGGAGCATGGCAGAGGCCAAGGCACAGCCACTCACCTTGCCAGCTTCAGCATCACCAGCTGGGACTCGGAGGGGCCGCAGACGATGCGCACGATGGGGATGGTCTGTTGGTCAGGATCCCCAGGGCCAGGGTCCTTGAAGAGCGTCCCCAGCTGCACCTCATAGCCCGTCAGGTCGGCCTCGCTGCAGAACAGGGACATGAGGGCACAGGGGGGTCCCACCACCCCACACCCCCGCCCCAGCCTTACCAGGAGAAGAAGCACTGGCGTGTGCTGATCACCCACTGCTCCTTCACCAGGGATCCCCCGCAGAAGTGCACGCCAGCCCTGTGGGGACAGGGGTGAGCTGTGGGGTCACTGAGTACATGGCAGGGCAGGGGAACACCCCCTCACCGGTTGCGGATGCTGACAGTCCAGGGCGAGTTGCCAGGCTGGCCACCAACGATGCGCCCCTTCTGCTGCAGCCTCTCCTCCCGCTGGCCACACTGCTCAAATGTCACTGCGTCTGTGGGCAGCGTGGGCATCAGCTGGGACTGCACCACCAGCACTCACCCCAGGGTGCCCACCCAGGACCCATGGGCCCTCACCTGTATTCTCCATGATGGAGGGCACTGTGCTGCCAGCTGCAGAGAGAAAACAGGGTGGCACTGGCACAGGATCCAGCCACCCTGAAGGGACCAAAACTACCCTGTGTGTGGCCAGGGTCCCTTCTAGCTCCGCAGGGATGTGGGAAGGGGCTCACAACAGGGCTTGATGGCACAATAGTCAAAGGGGGTACGGGGGTCCATGGTGTAGCACCAGGGGCCATGGCTGTCGTCATCAGGGTTGCGGCAGTAGTTCTCCTCCAGGTGTGCCTCGGGGTGGGTGGCAGGTGAGATCCTGCCAGGAGGCAATCACCATCACTGCCCCCATCCCCATGCTCATCTCTATCCCCACCCCAATGCCATCTCCATCCCAATCCGTGTACCCACACACTCACTGGGGCACGTGGGGTGTCTGGGCAGCCCAGGGCTGGCAGGTGATTCCCTTGCGGGTCTTGCTGACGTGCCCGTGGTAGTGCTTGCCGTGGCCATGGTAGCACTCTGGAGACAGGCAGGGAGCACTGGCACCCCTCACAGGAGCACCAGGGTGGGCACACAGGGACAGGTGCCTGGGATGGCTCACCTTGGGCGTCCTGCTCATCAGGGCAGCGGCGGATGTGGAAGCAGAAGGCGATGCGGACGGTGGGGCGGGAGGTGAAGCACCACGGTGCCTCTGATCCATCGGGGTTGCGGCAGTAGTTCTCCTGCAGGTCCCTGGAGGAGGGCCCGCGTGGTTGTCCCCCCTCAATCCCACACTCACGGGTGCTGCCCAGCACCTCCTGGGGCGCACAGCCGTCCCCTTACTTGCACGGGTACTTCTCGGGCAGGAAGTGGTGCTTGTGGGGCACCTGGGAGTCCCAGCGCTGGCAGGGGATCCCCGACACGGTAACATTCACTCGGCCGCGGTAGCCTTCGCCCCTGCCCCTGAAGCAGCCATTGGTGACATTGACAGGCCGTGGGCGTTTTTCTGCTTGTGTGGCCAGAGAGAGGGGCAGAGTAAGCAGGGCCAGGGGTGGCTCCAGGGCCCTCAGGCCCGGCTGTGCGTGGTGCTGGTGGGGCCTTACTGCAGACGCGGATGCGGCAGTACTCGCGCTCCCGCTCGGGGTCGGTGGTGTAGCACCAGGGCCGCTCGGAGCTGTCGGGGTTGCGGCAGTAGTTGTCATCCAGCCCCTTGTCAGGGTACCTGGGCCAGAGACGGAGCAGCAGCTGAGGTGGCACCTGGCACTCAACGAGGACAATGCACTGCGGGGGCTGGGGGCTAGTACTTGTTGGGGTGGTAGGGGTGCTTGTGTGGGTGCTGCAGGTCCCAACGCTGGCACTCCGCCCCTGATTCCGTGTGGTCCACGGTGCCACGGTAATCCTCCCCATTGCACGTCATGCAGACAGCTGCCAACAACTGCAGGGCTCAGTGTGGGAGAAACATAAGAGTAGAGGGTGATCGTGGGATGTGGCACCCACCATCCTCACACTTCTTTATGCCGCAGCTCTGGTGCCGGACATTGGGATCGGCGGTGTAACACCACGGGCCCCGCTTGTCCCGGTCAGGGTTTCGGCAGTAATTCTCCTCCAGCCCATTGCGAAGGGATGGCAGAAACCTGCTGGCAGCAGAGTGGGTAGGACTAATGCACCCCAACAGAGGGATGACAGGAATTCCTTTTCCTTGGAGCGGTCACAGCAAGGATGATGCGCTACCCCTGTCAGCGCCATCGCCCCCAAGCTGTCCCCATTGCTCCCGTGCTGTCCCACGCTGCTCCCACCCCATTCCCCATTGCCCCATGCTGCCCAGGGTAGGTGCCACGGGACAGCCAGGGACACGGGGGCACCTGTGATCATGCGGTGTGGTGGCTTGCCAATGCTGGCAGCGCAGCCCCTTCTCCGTCGTGGCCCTTGTGCCGCGGTAGCCGGAGCCGTCGCCCACGATGCAGTCCCGCATGTAGTCTGAGCAGAGCCGGGCACCTCTTCAGAGCCCCAGGGCCGGGTCAGGGCACATGGGCAATGAGGAGTCCTGTGCCAGGTGGCCTGTGCCCAGTCTGTGGTGTCCCCATGCCCACCCATGGCACCAGCCCACCTTTCTTCTGGTACAGGTCATAGCGGATGTTTTTCTGCAGCTGGGTGCGGGGTGAGTGCTGGGTCCAGGGCAGCAGCTGGCACAACTGGTTCTGCTGGTCATGGTGGAAAGCCCTGGGAGGCACAGCGGGAGTCTGGCACAGCACCGTGTGAAGCCAGGCCCCGCGGCACCTGGGTCACACACGTGAGCACCCAGTGTCCAAGTGCAGTGACCCAGCGCTGTGGCCCGTGCCCTCCCACCTGCCCCGCGGTGGCACCGTGTGCTGCTCACCGGCAAGCCAGGCTGGTGGCACAGCGCTGGGCACACTGCTCCGCAGTGCCCTGCTCCGGCAGCGGCGGCGGCGGCTCCACAGGCGCTGCCAGCAGCTCGGTGGCTCGCAGGCGCTGGAAGTCATTGAGCGGTGAGCGGTGGCCTGGGGAGGGTGGCAGGAGCTCAGTGTGCCCGTGGGGGCACGGCACGAGCACCGGGGCCCTGTGGAGTGTTGGATCCCTGCTCCATGGAGGAGGATATCCCTGTCCTGCAGAGCATGGGATCCGTGTCCCATGGAGGAGGGGAAATCTGTCCTATGGAGCATGGGATCCCTGTCCTATGTCCTGATCCATATACCCTGGAGCAGGAGGGTCCCTGCCCTGCATCACCCGCTGCTTCCGGCACCCCCCGTCCGCCGTGGGACAGGGCATGGCCTGCAGGCTCCGTCCGGCCGCTGGCCCTGCCTTGGGCCCCGCACTGCCCCGCGCCCTCCAGCCCCACGGCGACCCAGCCTGGGGCCCTACCTGAGCCCAGAGCCGCGGCCAGGGCGAGCAGGAGCCCCAGCAGGGGCTGCATGGCGGCGGCCCCGCGTCCCCGGGCCGCTGGAGCTCCGGGACGGTCCCGGGCCAATGTTTGCGGCCGGGCGCGGGGCCAGGCGGGCCCGGGGTCACCGCGCGCGGGCACGCTCCCGGGCGCTCCCCGCTCAGCGGGACCGGCCCGGCGCCGCGGCAGCACGGGTGGGTGTCCGGGCGGCTGCGGAGCTGTGTGTGCCTCGGGGGCGGGCGGCTGCCCCGGGCCGGGCTGCCCGGTGGGGCTCGGTGGGCCCCGGCGCTTCCCGGGGCTGACCTTGGCTCCGGGCACTGCGAGCGTGAGCAGCAGCAGAGCCCGGCGGCACGGCCCGTGTGGGCGTCCCGGGCGCTCC